GACTGGGCGGCAAGCAAGCAGAGAGAACGCTAGCCCCTCGTACATGAAGCCTCGGTTAATGCTCTCCCCAACACGGCCCTTCAGGTAGAGACTTTTGTTAGAAGAAACATATTTATTATAAAAGAATTAAGGCATTTTCAGCATTTAGAAAGCATACCGTGAAGACCCCTAGAAACTTCTTCTCCAAGAAAAGCCCCGGTAAGGACTACCTGTGTTATCTTTATTCTCATTGGCCTTGCTCAGTCTGACCACCTTGTCCCCTGCAGTCTGCGAGTTCTGTACCCACTGGAGTCACTTGCAGGTCCTGTTCCCATACTGTGCACAGATAGAGCGGCAGCCTTCTACCCAGACCCCATTCTGATAATCACACGCAAGTGCACAGATAGAGCGGCAGCCTTCTACCCAGACCCCCTTCTGATAATCACACGCCAGTCATCCTAGTTTGCCGTCCTTGGCTGGGGTAAATACCATGACTGTTACCATTCCCAACACCCTAACTGCTTCCGGAATCACATGGCCGCACATGCGCTATCAGCATTCAGGCGAAATGCTTACTTAGTCAGTCCAGGGCCTTACGTCTGACATAACCCATATGAAGTGTGGCCATGTAATCTGTGTGCACACGTGGCTACATAAGCCCCTATACGAATGCTCGAAGTGATCCTTAAAAGCAGACTCCACCCGTTACCCCTTCCCTTCCATACATTTCTCTCGGGCAGGCCTCTCTCACCCACCTTTCCTCCTCCCCCAACCCCCCCCCCCAATGAACTCTTAAAGTGGGTTTTGTTGTTCTCATGCCTGATAAAAAATAATGACCAAAAGCAGCTTGGGGAGGAAAGGGTTTATTTAACTTACAGGTTAGAGCCCATTGTAGAGGGAAGCCAAGACAGGAAGACAGGAGGTCAGGGCAGGAACCCGGAGGCAGAACTGAAGCGGAACCATGCCTTGCTCTCCTGTGCTTGCTCAGCCACGTTTCTTATACAACTCAGGACCACCTGCCCAGGGCTGGCATTGCCAACAGGAGACTGGGTTCTCCCACATCCATCATTAATCACAAAAATGCTCTACAGACTCACCTACAGGCAATCTGATGGAGACAACTCCTCAACTGAGGTTCTGTATTCCCGGATGACTTCATCTTGTGTCAAGTTGACAGAAACAAAAACAAAAACAAACAACAACAACACCAAAAACTAACCAGCACACAAGCTTTGTTTTGAACTCAACTCTGTCTTAAACCTAAAGAAATCACAGGGGAACTTGACCTGTTAAGATCCTGCTTGGGCCAGGCAGTGGCGCCTCACACCTTTAATTCCAGTACTCAAGAGGCAGAGGCAGTGGGATCTCTGAGTTCGAGGCCAGCCTCGTCCTACAGAGTGAGTTCCAGAAGAGCCAGGGCTACACAGAGAAACCCTGTCTCAAAAAACGAAAACAACAACAGAAGATCCTGTCCTGGTTTTGAAGTCCTGGCTTAATTTCACAGGGACTTTTTTGTCTGGTGGGGCCATCTGCTGGTAGCCAGATGCTCAGGAATCTGTTTGAATAAAGAGAGGATGCCATAAGCACTTCATCTCAGAGCCAAGATGGGGGCCGATGGAGCTGGACATGGTCGTCTCCATTCCCCAGCTTGCAGATGAGTACCCCAAAAAGAGACTGCATAAGAAGGTCAACAAGCTCCTCGCAATAGGGACTTGGGAGCCCCAAGTCCGGAGGATGTGGTATGACATGAGGTTTGAATGTAAACCCCTGTTTTAGGTTTACAGTGTAAATAGGGTCCCAAGAAGTCAGTACTGCCAGAGTTCCAGGCCAAAATGTCCCCAAGAGGCTTCTTAAGTAGCTGTGGTCAGCACCCAGGTGTCCCAGCAGAGCACCCTCTAGAGGAGACTGTCATTCACACCAAGGAGACTCCAGCAGTCCTGGAAAGTAGGTGGGGCTCCAGGGTGAAGCTGAGGTAGAGGCCATGCAGAGGAGCAGTTTAACAGTCATACTTACTCGGCCTTAAAACCATTCACATCCTGGGAAGGCTAGGGGCACTTTAGAGGAAAATTCCATCGGTCAAGTATTTAGGTGTGGGATCATTTTTGCTCGTGTATGGTCTAAAAACAAAAACAAACAAACAGGCTGGAACCTGCACAGCAGACAATTAGCTTTCCCCTCCAGAGCGGCGCCTCCGGAGGTGACACACCAGTTCTCCTCCAGAACTCATCCGTGGGGCTGACTTTCAAGCTCTTCTCAGGGTCACACTCGTGATTCGGCTGCTTTGATCATCCAGTGTATTCTTCAGCTTTGCCTTGAGTCCAAAGATAAAGCTTTTGTCAAATAAGTATTATTTCTCACCAAGCCTGCCTCCCTGTAGACGGTAAGTTTCTTGAATCGATGGACCATACCTGGCTTATCTTTGGCTACCCACAAGCCCTGGCCATGGTTTCAGAGGTGCTTGGTTAATATTTGTCTCTGTGGTGGCCGACTCCCCTCCACTGGGATGACATATATGCAGTAGAACCCAAGTATATTAGTTAGGGTTACTACTGCTGCGAAGAGACACCATGACCACGGCAACTCTTATAAGAAAACATTCCATTGTGGTGGCTTCCTTACAGTTCAGAGGTTCAGCCAATTATTGCCATAGCAGGGAACATGGCAGCATGCAGGCAGAGGTGGTCCTGGAGCTGAGATGGTTACATCTTGTAGGTAACAGGAAATCAATTGACACATTGGGCAGTTGAGTGTCTGAAACCTCAGAGCCCGCCCCCACAGTGACACACTTCCTCCCACAAGGCCACACCCACTCCAACAAAGCCACACCTCCTGACAGTGCCACTCCCTATGAGATGATTATGGGATTATGGGGGGGCCAATTACAGTCAAACTACCACACCAAGTATCAAAAGTTTTGCCTCAGGGTTGTGACGGACACGCCTTTAATCCCAGGAGGTAGAGGCAGGTGAATTTCTGAGTTTGAGGCCAGCTTGGTCTACAGAGTGAGTCCCAGGACAACCAGGGCTACACAAAGAAACCCTGTCTCAAAATAATCAATCAAAGTTTGCCTTCACTTCTCAATGAATTAAACAGTTAATCTTTATTTCAGAAGGGTATTGTTTTAAGTCTTCACCCCCCAAGCCCATGGTAGACATGCCTGTGGAACCAACAGGAACCTCTTCACTTTTTCCTCTCACAGAGAAGGCGGTCAACATGTCTCCTGCATCGTTTTTTCTTTGTGGAAGCACGAAGTGAGGGCAGAAGACTCATGGAGCAGGATTGCGGGATTGAGGAGACAGTCACCTTTTATTACAGTTCTAAAAACTGCTGCATCTGCTTTGACTTTCTCAAGCTGGGTGAAGAAATTTCACTAGCTGGTGTTCTCAAATAATGCATACAATGCTGTGTATGAAAGAATGGGAAGGTACTTTCTAGACCTAAAGAAGGAAAAAAAAATGTAAAAACACAAAATAGTGCCTGAAGCAGGAACTCAAGTTAACCGGACTTATCACCACCTTCAAGTGCTCGCAAGGAGTGAGTGCAATTTCCTTCCCTTCCTTTAGTGGGTCCACAGCATCTCCAAATGCAAACAGAGGGAGTTTTCGGTTGTTAACTGGCGCCCAGATGTGGAAGACATTCCCCCATCAGTTCACCCGCCCACCTCAGGAGCTGGCAAAGCCCTGACCTGACATGAAGTTCTCTCCATGGACTTTTGGCCTCTGGTTGATATGTGATCTGTAACTGTCCCCCCCCCCACCCCCCACCTTGCTGCCCAGTTTCTCACCTGCTGTCCTCATTATACCGCAAAGGTTATGTTTGGGTCACATGGTAGAATAGGCTTTTTCTTACTGGAAAGAGCAAGAATTTGTTAGCTTGCACTGTAGCAATGGGTTTGATATGTATCACTTGACTGAGCAGTCGTGGAATATTATTTTAACTCTGTAAAGATGTGTTACATTTGTTTATGCTGCAGAGTATTACTTTAACTGTGCAAAGGTGTGTTACATTTGTTTAATGATGTAAGGATGTGTGTTTAATTATGCAAAGATGTGTTACATTTGTTTCACCTTGCCTGCCTAAGGCACCCATTGGGCTAATAAAGAGCTGAACAGCCACTAGGTAGGCAGAGAAAACAGAACGGATAGGCAGGATTGGCAGGCAGAGAAAATAAGGAGGAGGAGAACTCAAGGAAGAAGAGAGAAGAAAGAGAAGAAGAAAGAAGAGAACAAGGAGAAGGAGAGGGACACTCTTGGGACCATCGAGGCAGCTACCAGCCAACAGACACAGAGTAGGACACACAGAAAGAAAGGTATAAAGCCCAGAGGCAAAACATAGATGTAGAGAAATGGGTTAAGTTGTAAGAATTAGCAAGAAACAAGCTTAAGCTAGGCCATGCATTCATCACTAGTAAGTTTCCATGTCATGATTTGGGAGCTAGCTGGTGGCCCAAGAGAAAAAGCCTGCTACACTGAGCTCTTCAAACAGTGTGACGACAATCCACCTTCTTGGAGGTCTTATCTTGGCCCTTCTGGTGGCTGGTTTGTTGGTTTCTCCTCAGCCTCCTTGCGAAGGTGAAAGGCCCTGCAGCTGCTCTGGCCTCATGACTTCCAAATCCATCCGAGTTAGACTCCTTTCCCCAAGCTCTAGAACGACACTCTGTCATCTGACTCTCTTTAGTCCGGGTTGGCTTCTGGTGGCCATCCCTCTGTCAGATAGGTGTCTAATACAGAAGGTACTTTGAATATTTAGAGCAAAGATGGTTTTGGAAGCAGCATTGGCTGCTTGTAATGTTTCTAGATGGTCTGAAAGTGCGTTTTAGAGTGAGTCTTCAGAAATAACTCCCAGAACTCGGCGGAACTAATCTCCAGCGGGCAGCTATCACTTAGCAAAGTGGGAAGCAGGATACCTCCGTGGCTGTGATGAGATTCAAGGCTGTAGGACTGTTTGTGCTTCAGGAATTTGGAAGCCATGAAGCTCATGGAAATGCACTCTCCATCACTCCTTTTTTTTTTTTTTTTTTTTTTACAAGTTCATGTTTTTATTGGACATGTTAACAAAAGAGGTTTAGTCAAAAAGACCAAAGCCCATGTCGTCATCAGACTCCTCAGATTCTTCCTTCTTTGCTTCCACTTTCTTCTCCTCAGCTGGGGCAGCAGCAGTAGAGGGGGCAGGACCGCCTGCTGGCAGGGCTCCAGCTGCTGGAGCAGGCCCACCAGGCCCTATGTTGCAGATGAGGCTCCCAATGTTGACATTGGCCAGGGCCTTTGCAAACAAGCCAGGCCAGAAAGGTTCAACATTGACACCAGCTGCTGTAATGAGGGCATCGATCTTGTCCTCCGTGACCGTCACCTCGTCGTCGTCGTCGTGCAGGATGAGGGCGGAGTAGATGCAGGCGAGCTCGGAGACGGAGGCCATGTTGCGGACTGCCAGCACGGTGCTAGTCCCGGATGAAGTGAGGGCCTCACCCCAACGCGGCCTTAGCTTCCTCGGAAGAACGGAGCACCTTGGCGGCAGCTGAGGAAAGGGTCCCATCACTCCTCTTAAACCCAAGACACAATTGAAGCAGGGTAAATGGTTACTTGGTGGACTCTTCATAGCATCAAAGGGTAAAACCTCTTCACTGGAAACAGAAACGCATGGGCCACAGAGAAGTCATTTCTGGGTTATGCATCTGCCTTCCAAATCTCAAGTGGAACATTTGGGGCAGAGCATCAGAAAGGGTAGTTTCTGCTTGTACAGCTCTTGCAAGCATTGCAGGACAAGATGATGCACCACAGAGACTAAACCGGTGTCTGCAGACCAGTCCCTGGTAGGAGAAATCTGGGAGGCTGGCAAGTAGTCCTTGGCCAGATCTGGGGTCAAACTCTCAGCTCCTGGGACTGGGAAAGGATCAAGTCCACTCGAAGTCCAGAGCCTATGAGTGACAAAAATTGTCCAGTTGTTATATTGCCACTGGGAGGAAAGATGCAAAGTGCTGTAATGGATAACCAAGTAATGCCCCCTGCAAAGTACACAATTCGCTTTCATTTACAAATACCTTCATCTACATTGACCATTTGCTTCTTATAAAACCTTGTGAAGGAGGAAGTGTGGTGATATTGTATCCCCCAATATATTATGCACCTTAATAAACTTATCTGGGGTCAGAGGACAGAACAGCCCCTAGACAGACATAGAGGCCAGAAAATGGTGGCACACACACCTTTAATCCTAGCATTCTGGAGGCAGAGATCCATCCTGATCTCTGTGAGTTCAAAGCCACACAGGAAACAGCCAGGCATGGTGACACATGCCTTTAATCCCAGGAAATGATGGCAGGAAGCAGAAAGGTATATAAGGTGTGAGGACCAGGAACTAGAGTCTGTTAAGCTTTTAGGCTTTTAGCAGCAGTTCAGCTGAGATCCATTCAGATGAGGACACAGAGGCTTCCAGTCTGAGGAAACAAGATCAGCTGAGAACTTGGCAAGTTGAGGTTGGATGTGGTTTGTTCTGTTTCTCTGATCATTCAGTGTTCACCCCAATACCTGGCTCCAGGTTTGTTTTTTATTAATAAGACCTGTTAAGATTCATGTTACAAGAAAGGTTAAATACTATTATTATGAAGGTCCAGACTTAGAGACCAGGAGATGGCCCAAGCAGATCCCTTGCTGCTGGTGAACGGCAGTGTTTAGATTCAGCTGGTCAGGTCCTGGCTCAAATCCTGTTCTTTTGGACTGGATCAGACTGTAAAAGAAACTTATGTTTGAAATAAAAGTACCAGGTCTCACCCACCTCATGCTGGGGAAGTAATTTTCCTACTTCTTGGTTGCTAGAGCCAGATTTGAACAGGAGGGACCACGAGGAGTCTTGCCAGAGTGGAGGCAGGAAGCATGCAATCATTTGTCTTTATTTGAAGAATGGAACAGGTGTTCCATGCCGGCTGGCTGACTCGCTTAATGTTGAGTGCTCTGATGTGCCACAGTATTATTGTAAATATCTAAATTCTGGGCATAGACGGGCCTGTGTTTCTCCCAAACAGCAGCATTTGTGGCAATAATCATTTCCACAAAAATGCAAAATCTTCTTCAATACTTGACCAAGGCAGATGCCCCTCTAAAGCCTTTCCCACAGGCTGCAAAATGACTGCATTTATCTGACCCAGATTTTTCACAGAGTTGGTAGCAGCATCACAAATGCCTCCTGGGGTCAGCACCCAAGATGCAAGAGCCTCCTGCCCCTCTACCTGTAGCCTTGGGCCATTTACGGAGATGGAGATCTCAAGCTTGGACTGAATGGCACTTGATGAAGGGGATTTGGCCCTGGCCAAAGAGGCAATGTGAATTTAGAGGCAAATTCTTAGGAAAGATGAGGAAACACCAGGACCTGCTTCCTAGAAGTTCTTCCTCAAGGTCAGACTGTGCAGGGCCTGGCCAGCTGCTGAAGCCTCTGTTTCTGCTGTGTGGGGAAATGGGCCAAGTGCGTGGAACCAGTGAATACCTTTTATTTCATGTAAGTGTGTGCTAGGGCCAGTGTATTCCAGGCATTCTCTCTATTGTGTTGGAGAGAGAACTTTGTTGTTGTTTGGCTTTTACTCTTTTGGGGGGCCTGCTACCCAGCTCCCAGATAAATCACACACAGAGGCTTATTCTTAATTATCAATGCCCAGCCTTAGCTTGGCTTAGTTTCTTGCCAGCTTTCCATAATTTATCCTGTCTGTGTTTTGCCTCTGGGCTTTTCCCGTTCTCTAACTCTGTAAATTTTACTCTTACTCCATGGCTTGCTGTGTAGCTGGGTGGCTGGCCCCTGATGTCCTCCTCCTTCTCTGGCTCCTTCTTCCTTGATCTTTTCTCCTCCCAGACTTCTCCTTCTATATATTCTCTCTGCCTGCCAGCCCCACCTCTCTCTGTCCTGCTTCACCATTGGCTGTTCAGCTCTTTATTAGACCATCAGGTGTTTTAGACTGGCATAGTAACACAGCTTCACAGAGTTAAACAAATGCAACATAAGCAAAAGTAACACACCTTCAAATAATATTCTACAACATGGCTTTGTGCGGTTTTGGCCAGGAGTGGCCATCTGCGTCAGTCTCCTGGTCATGTTACCCTCCCCACCCTGGCCTTTGTGACACTCCACACAGACAATTGCCTGTGTGTTTTCTCCTGTTGCTTCATTTTCCCAAAGTTGAGGGGCTCTTTCTGTGGAGTTGAGCAGTGTCCTGTGGGCACGCCTTTATGAAGTCCTAATCTCTCAGACCTCGGGATATTTGGATATAGTCTTTAAAGAGACGGCTAAGATTAAGTGAGGGCATTGGAGTTGAATCTAATCCAATATGACTGGTGTTAGAAGAAAAGCTTAGGACCCAGGCCTACGGGGGTGGGGGGGGAGCATATAAAGACAGCCCTCCACAGCAATGAGGCCTCGGAGTAAACAACCATCTGACCTCTTGCTCTCATCCTCCCAACTATGGCGAAAAATGAAGTCCTACCGTTTAATCCAGGCAGTTTACAGTACTTTACAATTGCAGCCCCCCGCTGACTAATGTGTCTTCCTTCAGACCAAATGCAAGGGTGACTTCCTGCCTCCTATTCACCATCTTTGAAACTTTAAAAGTGTAAACTTGTCTTCTGCATGTATGTCTGTGTACCATTTGCATAGCTAGTGTCCATGGAGGCCAGATGAGGATGTCAGGTGCCCTGAAACTGCAGTTAGAGATGGTTGTCAGCTGCCATATAGGGGCTGGGAAATGAACCCAGGTCTTCTGCTGAATCATCTCTCCAGCCCTGCCCCCCTCCTTTCTTAACAGAGATGCTGACTATGGTCATGAGGCCACCACCAGTAGGAAGGAGTCTGGGGACCTTTCTCAATGACCTTGAAGTCAACCACCCCCCTTTTCCTCTTTCTCATCCTTCTGGGACCAAGATGTGTACAGGCTGACCAGAGGCTACTGCTGTGGACATTCTGTGGAGAGGAGAGGCTCATCTCCTCCATCCCCTCCATTCTAGCCAGCTGACTCATGAAACATTTTGACTCCGCTTCTTCTCTGCCTCTGAGGTTTACTTTTGGGCCCCTTTAGAGGGATGGCAATAGGCTAGACCAAGTTCCAGTCACCCAGTCACATTCTACCAGCCAGCCATGGGTTAGGGTGACATAAAGAGTTCTCCTCTCCTCTCCTCTCCTACTCTTCCTTCTCTGCCCCTCCTCTCTCCCCTTCCCATTCCCTCCCATCATCCCCTCCCCTCCCATCATCTCCTCCCTTCCCCTCTTTTCCCCCTCTCCCCTACCATCATCCCCTCCCCTCCCTTCCTCTCCCTCCCATCTTCCCCTTTTCTTCCCTCTCCTCTCCTTTCTCCTCCCCTCCCCTCCTCTTCCCCCCTCTCATCATCCCTTCCTCCCCTTTCCCCTCCCCTCCCTTCTCCTCCCTTCCCCTCACCTCTCCCCACCTCTCCTCTCTACCCCTTCCCCACCTGCCCCTCCTCTTCTCTCCTCTCTTCCTCTCCCCTGCCCCTCCCCTCTCCCCACCTCTCCTCTCTACCCCTTCCCCACCTGCCCCTCCTCTTCTCTCCTCTCTTCCCCTCCTCTCCCCTCCTCTCACACATCCTTTTGTCTTCTACGAGCTGGGTCCCTGGGTCCGGGAAGGTCAGAGTAGCTCAAGGCAGTTTACCGGCTGACTCGCCTTACCTGTCTGATACTAAGAAAGGGCTCACTGCCCCAAGCCTTCAACACTGGGTCTTTCCAAACAGGATGAGCTTTACTGAAGGCCAGCTGATACCACGGGCTGCTCAAATCTCTGTCTCCACTTGTCAGAGTGCAAGAATTTAAGAGTTACAGGGGACTGGGAGAAGGAAAGTCACTGTGTGTGTGTGGATGTCTTGGTGGTGTAGACTGGTGTGTCCAGGTGAAACACAACTCTAATCTACCCTGTAGCTGTTATTGACACCCTGGCTTCTGCTCAGCAGAGTTCTTCTGCTTTCTTCTGTCTCAATACCATTTATTTTGTTTATTGTATCTAGTTTCGTATTGCTGAGGATAGAGCCCGGGCGGGGCCTTGCTCACTCTGGATGAGTGCTCTACCACTGAACTACACCCTAGCCCTCGGGGTTGTTTTAAGTCAGCTTCTAGGACTCTGTGCCTGTGTCCAGAAAACAACATTTTTGTGATCATGGAAAGAGCTCTATCATGGCTGGCTTTTCATCCCTGGGGGAGGGGCTGCTTCTTCACTGCAGGGGAAAGCCTTGGATCCAGGCTTCCAGCTTGGAGAGCAAGCCTGGGCTGAGGCCTCCTCATTGTCATTCCAGATGCCACCTCTACAGCTGCAGTCACCACAACACTCCCTGAAGTCTCCTGCTGGTGGGCCAGTAGGATCTTGCCATCCTGCCCTCGGCAGCTGGACGGGCTGAGCTGGGTGGGTGTTCAGGGCTGGATTCAGGTCTGCCTCCTCTGCTAAGCCTGAGCTGAGTGCTAGACCCAGGGCTTTTCACCCTCCGGGTCCTGCTACTACCTCCTACTGCAGATACCCAGCTCCCTGCCCTGCCTGTGCTCCACAGCTGCCTTTCATCACCCGCTTCTATGCAGATCACATTTCAGCAGC